AGATACCATCACCCCCGGGGTCGTTCTTTCTAGCTAGGCTGGGAACGTATCGCTGGCTGGGTAGACTCGGTGATATCGGCGATCGCCCCCGGGCCTCTCTTTCTAGCTGGGCTGGGAGTGTGCTGCTGGCTGGGTGTCCCCGGGTCGCTCTTTCTAGCTGGGCTGGGAGCATGACTGCATGGTAGGACGACTCGCGATATCTACCTCACTCACGGGTCCCTCTTTCTAGCTGGGCTGGGAGTGGACTGTTTGGTTGGGTGCCCCCTAGGGTCACTCTTTCTAGCTGGGCTGGGAGTGTACTGCTGGCTGGGTGGAGTCTGATGGATTATCTTAGTTACTTTGGGCTGGTAGCCTAATTTTTCTTCTTTCTCAGTAGACTTAGCCTTGCTGTGTACCTGTCGGGCTTATGGGGGTCCGTTCAGGTTTTATTTAAACTTGCGCACGAGTGTACCTTCTGGGCTTATGGGGGTCCAGTTAGGTTTAGTTTAGTTGTACTTAGTTTGTTTCTGGTATGCTCGTGTGCTTTCTTTTCTTATCCGCTTGACCTCTCTGTGTCTAGATTCTATCCTTTCTTATTGTTTTTACCCTTTTTGCTCAGTCGGCCTATGATGCCTACTGAGTACCTGTTGTGTTGGTACTCATGCTACGCTCTGCATCTATTTCGTGATGCAGGTCCCAGTACCAGTTACCAGCGGTGATTAGTTCCAGCCTTCTTTTGCAGTTGTGATTCGGAGACGAGGGCGAGCACTTGGCGTTTTGGGGTTTGTTCTGTCTCCTTCTTTTGTTTTAGCTAGTCTTGTTGCCTTTGAGACACGCTCTGTTGTGGTCCACTTTTGGGACTTGTACTCTTTATTAGATAGCTCTGTACTAGTGACTTCCAGGTTCTGGGAGGGACTTCTGTATATATTTATTTTGGGTTGCTTCCGCCTTGTTATCCTTGTTTAGATTATTGTTTTAGCTAGTTTCTGCCCTTTTGCTCATTGCTTGATGTTCTGGGTTACGGGTTGGCTTACCTACTGGTAGGGTATAGTAGGTGCCATCATGACTCGAGAAATCGGGTCGTGACACTATAGCTATAAAATATAAATATGATTTTTATGTTTGCTATAGGTGAAAGTTGTTCATTAAAAAAATTGATTCAATTTTGAATACCATAGCTTCAATAATGTATATTTGACCCAATGGGCTAAGGTTTACTATTTAAGGCCCAATTGTATTACACCTGATGACCTTGAAAATAGATGGTCTAAATTTTTTTAGGGGAAATTTTATAAATAGCAAATAGAATAAACTTAAGAAGCATTGATTATGCTCAATAACTATAGTTTTGTTTGCTATGTGTATTTTTGTTTGTATGTTTCACTTGTCAAATATACAAATAGGGTAATTATGTACAAATTTTATGTTAATGTAGTTAGGATTTTTCAGAACTTATAGAAATCAGATGTATCAACAAATCATATACAAACAAGATAATTATATACAAATTCTGAATTTATACAGTTGTAAACTTTTCATAACTTATACAAATCAAATGTATCAACAAATCGTATACAATACAGGGCAAGCATATACAAATTCTGAATTTATACAATTAGGATTTTTTCATAACTTATACAAATCAAATGTACCAACAAATCATATAAAATCAGGGTACAATATACAAATTGTGTATTTTTACGGTTAGAA